GAAAAAAACAAACAAACAAACAAACAAACAAGATGACCTGATTGTAATTACAATCAGCTCCTTTGTTATTAGTATTCTATTATGCTTAAAAGGATGAACAACACTATGAAATGACACCGTTTAAGCGGGCCACGCATTCCAAATACTCTACCATGCATTTGACGTCAGGCGCGTGTCTCGGCCAAGTTGTTACAAATGACGGGCGAGCAGCCAGGGAGGCGCCGGCGGAGTCCATTTGCATGGCTGTCATTAAGTGTGTCTCCTAATGTTATTATTCCCCACTTACAGACCACCTTCAGCCAAAATTGCTCCCAGCTACATCAACTTTAAGGAAGTCTTATTATTCCTTGACATAAAAGCATATTTTTGTTCAGTCGCGCTCATTAAAAATTGATTTTGTACGTGAGCAAGGGGGAGAAGAAAAGCGAGGTGCTTATTACGGTTGGAGTTAAAATAACACCACTGAGGGAAGGCACAGCTATTTATAAACCCATTTTGCCGAGCTAAAAATGAGAAACGCGGGTCACCCTAAAAGTTTTCCCCAAAGCAGACTCTTGTGCACCTGTGGTGCTTTCCTGCAAGCCCGCAAGTCTAAAATAGCTCGCAGGTGAACGGCAACATCTGGGCCGGCTGTAGATGTCTTCATCCTCCTTTTCCAGTGTGAGTGGCAGCAGTTAAGCACCGACACGACCCCTTAAACTGACTCCTGCCAGACGACGGGATGTCTTTTTAAACGCTCCAGTCAGATATGAAACATCCGCATTAACTCGCCGGCTAAATGATCCCTCTGAATAATGGATCAGGGCTTGTGGAGATATGTAAAAGTCCACCTTTGTGAGCGTAATTGCTGGCACGCTGGCTCATGGGCTTTCAACGAACCTTCAAACGTAAACATAGCTGCCGTCAATCAATGTGTGTTGCCTGAGGTTGCGTCAGAAGGTTACAAGGCAATTTTTGTTCTTTTCCAGTTGTCAAAAGTTGGGAGGGTACATTGAGGGTACCAAAATAACGTAGATGAATAACTTATGGAAATTCCTTTAACCATCTCCAATAGACATATTCGCATCCACAAATGACTTTTCTTCATCCAATTATTTGAGGCAACAATTATACCTTGAAGCAATGTCAAGAAATCATTGTGAAAGGACAACAACAGCACTGAAAGCAACAACAAGCAACCATTAAAACAGCTTCTGAATGACACCAAACCAATTTGTAAGATGTGAGTAGAATAGCAGCTTTCATTATCACGTCCCCGCAGCATCACTTCAAGCAGAGGAGGCCTGCCTGACGAGCATAAAAAAAGACAACCCTTTCCGATCCAGTTCCGCAAACTGCGCACACAACAACTGGATGACCACACTTGCAATGTCCTGCCACAGTATTAGCTGCACCTCTAAGCTCTGCCATCGAGTTTCGCACAACAGGCAAATTACAGCTCAACTGGACTTTATATATAGAGCACTTTAAAAACAAGTGCAACTGTGTTCAAAGTGCTGCACAAAAAGTAAAAATCAGACATATAAAAACAGTTAAAAAAATAAATTAATAACATAAAAACAGTAAACACAATAAATCATTAAAACGATGCCGAATCTCATCCTGAGTCTAAAGCTTCGAAAGCCAAAGAATAAAAAATGTGTTTTAAGACGAGTTGTAAAGATGGACAAAGAGCGGGATTGCCGAACTTTTAGTGGAAGTTCATTCATACACATTCACACTTCTTGCTTGGCTCTCGACGAAGGCGGACGCTTTTGCTTTCTGCTCCTGTCCCCCCACCCCACCCCCACCCTTCCCTGCTCGCCACTCAGTCCATGTGCTGTCTTTGTCTGACTTTTCCTAGCCTCCTGCCATATTTTCATCCTAAAAACAAACATGGAATTGGTTGGCTGGTCTCTCGATGCCATCGACAAAATTTTCTCGATGAGAAGAGCAGGCAGTGGGAAGCCTACTGACGGGAGCGGCTCTATAGGAAGGGAAGAGGCTGCTGGTCTAAGAATGGCATAGTGAGGATGTCCAACACTCAGACTCAGACTGTGCTCAACCACAAACTGTTGCGGTTTTGGAGCGTCTCTGCAAGATGGTCAAGAACTTGGAGAAACTGGAATCCGTGCTCAAATATTGACAGAAATCACGGATTTGGCTGATCGACGCCACTAAAGAGACATAAGCCACGGACTCAAGGCTGTCTTAAATTCTTGGGCAGCCTGCTACCAAAACAACATCTGCTATCTCGACCTTCCCCTGATGAAAGTATGCACGGAAGCTAGTCCCCCACCATCACCCCCTCCCTCATACACTCCCTTGTATCACCGTCTTCATTGTTTATGTCTTGTGACCTGTTGTAACTGTCATATGCTTGTGCAGGAGTTTTTTTGCCGAACTCAAATTATCCTCAAAATGAGGATAGTTCGAGCGTGGTTTTTTTTCTCCCCCTCTCCCTCCCTTGTGGTTTCTTTCTGACTTCCGGGTTGAGTGAACGCTGGCGTGTTTTGGCTGCCGCTGCTCAACCCGCATTGTTCTGTGTTTTTTGTTATTGTAAAGTGTCCTTGGGTGTCTTGAAAGGCGCTTATAAATAAAATGTATTATTATTATTATAATTATTATTCCAAAGGGAGGGCACACAGCTAACAGGCTAACAATAGCAGCAAGCTGTGTCTTTAGTTGGGCAAGCCACCGTTTTGCTGCAACACTTAACACAGTTTGTGTTCGCTTCAAAAACTGGCAACAGTATGGCAGTAGTGACACACTCTCATATACAGTAAGATTGTTTCTGGTATGCAAATATGTTCATTTGTTTCAGTAGTTCCATTGAGAAAGTGAAATTCATACATTAGACTGAGGAACACACATTTTTTTTGAAATCATCAAAATGAGAAAATCATCAAATATTTCATTATTTTTGTCTTCATCTTTATACTATTCATGTTTCTGTTTTTGAATAGAACTATTGAATCATTTTTTTTTCACCCATGACACTCCTGTCGTTTTACATCGACTGGAGGTTTTTTGTTTTTTTTTTTAAATTCCTCATTATTTTATGAACACACATTTCCTCGACAAAAGCGACTCGATGAGCCACAAAAGAATTTCTGTTTATTCACAGTTGTGAATACTACCACAATAACTGGTCAGTAGACTTTAAGGTACCCCTTCTGTCATGGTACCAATCACATTGCTAAAGAATGAGTTCTGTTGTCATTGTTGTTTACTGCCTTATTTCACTCCTAATTTAAATGGATCCAACTGGTATGATTCCACACTATTTGACATCACACCCAACAGTAGAAACACAAGCCACATCAGAAGTTACCATTGCAAGTGAAACTAAACTAAACCATCAGGGATACTTTGGCCGTTATGTTGTAGTACAGCAAAACAGAGGTGGTTTTACCTTGCTCAGGAAGCTGGCAAACATTGGGGGGCACGGTCATGTTGAGCATGTCATTGACAGCCGTGTCAACATAGTGTCCTCGCTGGACGTCGTGTTCGCTGTCAGTCTGGTCGCTCTCCTCGTGGCCGCTGTCCTTCAGACTGTTCCCCTCCAGATCTTTGAATGTCGATGTACTGCACAAGGGAGGACCGAGAACTATGTTGATTAACTGTCACATCACCTTCGCTCACATGTTCGCCTTGAAGGTGTCCATCTTTTTCTCTGGCAGGCATTTTTTTTTAGCATTGTATGTGCCCTTAATCTGTCTTTTTTTTAGGTCATTTCTCTGTCTATTCTGGACATATTAAAAAAATTGCTTCAGAATAAATCTAAGCGGAACACGCAACTTTAAATAATCCTGATATAAAGAGCTTGTATGAATCTCCCCAGGGGAAAAGACGAAGACATTTTGGATGGACTCGCTGCCTTCAAGGGCATCTTGAACAAACAGGGAGGCGCTCACTCACTTCAATCAGACAAATACTGCAGTAATCAGGAATTCCAGGAAGGAAGATGGATGTCGGAAACGCCGTAGGCATACAAACAGAGCATCTGCCTTGCACTGGAGGCTCGCAGTCAATAACGCGGGATGGGGAGGGGAATGGGGGGAACAATCAACAGCTGCACAGTAACAGTGTGATTTCCCCTCATTTGAGTACCATCCCACTGGAACAAATTCACATTTATAAACAATGCTAAAGAGCAGGGGAATAAATCAACAAGTGTTCTTGGAAGAAGTAGCAGGAAGAGGGTGGGAGGTAGGAATAAAGGGCATTCCAAGGTAGCTGTATCCTTAAACACTGGCCGAACGTTCCCCATTGCAGGGCTCCGGCAGCAGCTAATGCTGATCTTCTGATGTTATCACTGTAATTGCACCTGTACCAGATCAGGGGGGGATCACTGGGCTCTTGGGGGTCTTGCTTTGTGGGAATCTGCACTTCAATGTGCTTTGTTTACATCAATGCAGGAAGTCTTTGGAGGGGAAATTGTCATAATGGGACTTGAGTGAGGGAGCATAACTGGGGGCAAACAAAAGAAAGCCTCCATTGTTGCAGGTAACAAAAGGACAATTGTGGAATCAAAAGAAGCCCCTTTGCAAAACTTTTCCACAGCTGAAGGGAATTATTTTGACTTCAGTGCCAATTTCCTAACCCTGTTTCCCATGTTTCTGTCCAATTTCTGGGGCAGCACGTTGGACTTGTGAATAGCACATGTGCTTCACAGCTGAAAGAGGTTCGGTGTCCGAACTCTGCTCTGTCCTTCCTGTGTGGAGGCTGCACATTGTGCCTGTGCTTGCGTGGGCTCTCTACAAATACTCCGGCTACCTCCCACATCCATGCATAAAGACTATAGATCAGGGATGAGCAAATGAAATGCTGGAGAGGGCCACAATTTTTCATCAGTGCTACTGAGGGGCAATTAGGCCACACACTTTCTAACCCGGGGGTCGGCAATACGCGGCTCCAGAGCCGCATGTGGCTCTTTAGCGCCATCTAGTGGCTCCCTGGAGCTTTATAAAAAATGTTTGAAAATGGAAAAAGATGTGGGAGGGAAATTAATTTTTTTGTTTTAAATATGGTTTCTGTAGGAGTAAAAACATGACACAAACATTCTTAACGTTTCCCAATGCTGTAAAAATGGGTAGAATAAATATTACATTTTAACGTTTCTGTTAACGAATATTTGCGTCATAGCCTGTGACACCTGTTTCTATTAGCAGGGCAGGATGCAAGGCAGGTGGCTGTTGCAAAAAAATAAATAAATAAATAAAGTTTAAAAAAACTGCGTTTCATGTACAATTCACCGAGGGTGCTGGCAAACAGAATCTGGAGGGACGTGAAAAGCATTTTTAAAACGGTACACGTGAGCTACGATAGTCAAAAACGCTGCAAAAGTGTGTCCCATGCCTCCGCATCAGATCTCGACGAAGTAGGTAGGCATGCGTCTGTAAGTGTGTTGTGTATGCATGCATCGATCGCGGTAGGTTGGTTGAACGAAAAGTACATCTTCGGTCAAAAAAGGTTGGGCACCCCTGCTCTACAGAATGCACTGCATGTAAAAAAAAAAAACATTTAATCATGAATACTCATCGTGTAATTGTAGCAAACTTCGTCAAACTTAGGCGCTTGTTTTGTGCAGTTTTGTTCACAAAAAACAACTCACTCAAAAAAATATGACTGAGGTACTATGTTTGGCATATGTAACATTCCAAATCCACAAAAAAAAAAAAAGATTAGGACTACTCATCTTGTAATGTTGGGAAGCATAAGACCCTGTGTAAGTGCAGTTAAGTCTGAATGGTTGCATATAAGCGCCTTGCGATTGATTAGCAACAGGGCGTACCCTACACTTCCCCAAAGTGACCTCAATGAGGATAAGTGCTCGAGAACATAAATGGGGTTTTCAGTCCACACCTGCATGACAGTTTAAAAATGTCTACTCGATAGCCACATAAAAAAAGAGATGGGCCAGCTGTTAGTTAGCCAAGCAGAAGCCTTCCAAAAGCATTAGCAAGCGCCCACCCGATGTATTCTGACACCTCCAATCTGTAGTGTAGTGAGAGATAATATTCATATTTGCACGTAAATATGCTAACACATTTGTGAATGAAGTCAGCACTCATGTGTCGCAGAAATGATATGACTCGGGTACAACAAGGTCATTGAACATTCTGTTGTTAAATGTAGTAATAAACGAGTGAAAAACAGAAAATCAGAAAAAATAATGTTAACATTTTGATTTGAATATCAAATAAGAGGCCATTTTTTTGCAACGTTTAAAACACTCTTTAATCTAATGTATTTATAATATCTATCTTTTCGAAAGCATCTACATATACTTTTTTTTCTTTCTTTCAAGTTTAATTTTCATGCTGATGGGCCATTGAAATCCAAAAAGTTGAATCGAATCTCTCTTCTCCTTCTCTGAGGGTCTTTTAACATGTTGGACTTGGATCGACACTTTTCATATTCGGTGCTGCAGCAGAATTTTACAAAGATCATGATCAAGCAAATTATTCTATGACTTGTATTCTTCACAGCTATGGGAAGTACAAACATGCTACTTGCTAAATACCATCATCTGAAAATAGTCCTGATTTCAAGACCCTGATGGTATGGCTTATATTAACCCAAGAAACATTGACTTCAGAACTACAGGGGAAGCCCGTGAATGAAAATATGACTTACTTCTGCTTTAAAGACTCGGTTTTGAATGAAAAGTTGCTAATGTATTATATGACATCGGATTCACATCAAATAAAAATAGATTATAATAGGATAACAGAATCTCTTTCATTGCCATGGCAACCTCGCATGCCCTACTATAGTGGGTCTCTAGTTTGGTGGACCGACCTGGACGGACACCTACTACGTTGTTTTAGTGCATTAAATATGGGATTGCTAAAAATATTGTGATAAGATGTTTATCATCAGTTTATGTTAAGCTCCTGATGTTATGTCTTGTACTGTATGTGCCAAAGTGACGAACACTTCACAACTACAATGAAGGACATATTACTTAACCTCGTTTTAAGGTCTGACAATACAGATGATTAATATGACATGTAGAGGAGATTTTAAAAAGAAAAGAAAAGAACATTTTGCATTGCCGTGCCATCCCTGGATCTCCTAATCGGGGGTGTGGGGTCTATGATATGGCGGGCCTGCCTGGATACCTGGCATGTTTTGTTAGCAGTTGCGAAAAGATTATTGAAAAGATTACTATCATTCATTGCAACCTATGACTTGTATTCTACTTCCCGACAATAGGGAGAGCAAAAACATTACTTTCAGTTACTTTTTGCTACAGCTGCAGCTGTTGTAAAAGTGCCATATAAATAATGATGTATTTTATTGTATTGTGTTAAAACCCTGCTTTACATCATGTGTTGCTTCAAATGATGCCTACCAAATAGATGTACTGTAGATTCTGGTGCTATGTCTAATTCAGAAATCTCTCTGCATATTTCTTCATCATCTTAATGAATTACCTGGAAGTTTTCCTTTTTTTATTTTACACATTCTATTTCAATCCCTATTATTCCCAGTCCAAAACAAGCTCCTACAAACCACCGCAAGGATTCCTGCGCTCTCATTAGATGAAACAATTACGAACAACAATGGTAACAAGGTGCTCGAAACAAACCAAAAAAATAAAAAATAAAAGTACCTTTTAATGAGGTGGGCTCTGCTGTTCACGTAACTGGAGTCAATTGAATAATTCTCCGTCTGTAAGACAAAGCGGGTTTGGGGTGGGGTGGGGTGTGTAGGGGGTATGGGTGGGGAGGGTTGGGAGAAACAGAGAGAGAGAGGTGCTTTCAATAGGAGAAGAAACTATAACAATGTTTGCAGTAATTGCTTTTCGGAAGGAATGTTATGGTACACAAAGGAGAGCATCCTGTGCCTCATTGAAAGCACGTACACATACAAACACATTGAGGCTGACTGGGAGTGGAGTGGTGCGGTGCACGCAAGCTTCGTCAACCCTGGGTCCCCATTCATACACTTGTTGGTCAGCCCACCACCGTTAAAATGAAATCATTAAGGACGGACGGAGAGGTGGCAGAAGAAAAACTGCCCCCTCCCAGCCAAAAATGTTTCCCTCCCCTCCTCCTGGTGCGAAGGGCTCACTTCTAACACATTTGAGAAGATTACGCATTAATGTGCAGAAAATGAAATAAATAACAGCGAGAGAAGGAGATGAAATTAAGAGTGTACCGGGGGGGAATCTTAACGCCGCAATTGGAGATGAAAAGACTTTTTCAGAATATGCATGCGATAGATCTCTGACCCACATTGCAGCGTAAAGTTCAAAGGCATCCCACATTCACATTTCACCCAGCGTTTTTATTTGGTGAGGATCTATGAACCGCTCCGTTGTGTGTTATCAACTCCCACTAAAAAAGTGAAGGCTTCTAAAAAAAATAAATAAAAGCATGGCAGTCCAATGAAAAGCCAGGATGTGACCCTTCCCTGCAAAGTGTGATCAGATGCAGGTGTTTTCCGGGGAGAGAAAGCAAAGGCTTTACTTCATATTCCAAAGTGAAGATAGCAGGCGGTGATAAGATGTTGTGGGTCGACCCCTTGACTTCCGCGTGAAGGCAGCTGTGCAGAGACTAAAGCTATGTTGAAATAATAACAAAACCCAAACAGTCAAGTCATTGCAGGCATTCACACAACCTCAACACCTCCTTTAATCTTGATTATTTTAGCAGTGAAAAACTGTAAGGATGAATCCAAGGACACGTACTACATTATGAATCAGTGCATTTGCTGTGAAGGTGATCATGATTCAAACTCTCTTTATGCTATTTAGTACTAATTAAACTTTAACAAGCCAACATGAAGAGCAGATCATTCATTGAAGAAAAAAAAAAGAAAGAAATGGGGATTAAGGTTTCATCGTTTGCCCCTCATTTCTTTTCCTGAAGGCAAACAATACAGGATATGGACACATAATGAAATAAGCAATCAACATTTCATAAAGAGATATGCAAAAAGTCGTACAATTGGACAAACAACTCAAATTTGGGAGTAAAATATTAAATCCATTCCAAAAAGTCGCACAAAAACTTGGAGGTAGATCATGCTCGACGTAACGCGAGACTCCAACAAATCCAGCCAGACTTCAGCGTTCCTCACTCGAGCTAATGTCAGATCACATCAAATAATTAATTCGGATTGTGTTAAAGGACATGAGGAAATGGATGCTGAAATTCCAAAAGGTCTAATAATTTGGCAATCACTTCACATTTTTTTTCCAGAAAAGTATACCTGAAAAATCACACAAAAGCTTTGGCGGTAACGCGTGAAACAGCGAGTGCAGCATTCCTCTCTGGAGAGCAGTTTAGCTAGCATCAAGGATTGTGTTTGGCATCTGCTTTTAAGTTGGAACCCAAAAGGACTTTGCACCCAAATATGTGCAAAACCCTGGCGGTCAATAATGTGTAACATTGCATGAGCATCAAGTATTTACCTTGAATTAATTTGGAAATTATGAGGAAAATGTACAGTGGAACACACACACACACACCAGGGATGTGTTCCTCGAGCCGGTCCTTGGCCTCGAGGACCGGCTCCCGGGCCCACCGGCGG